GAGAAACAGAATTGTGATATTAATGATATATCTAAGATACATTTAAATTTTGCAGCTTAAATGAAAAAAAAATCCATCTTCATACAAAGTGAACCATCAAACCACACTGTTTAACTTTCAGCAAATAAACTACTTCTAATTACTACAATAAAAGTGCTTTAATTTTTTACATTATGTGTACATGTGTGTATATCCATCCCATAAGTCTCTGAGACTGGCAACTTATTACATTTCAAAAATTACAAAATCACACTAACTTCTATATCACTTTTATACTTTACAGAAAAAAAAATCAATTTCTGGATTAAAATTCTTAATTACATGACTTATCATAATAACTTTAATAATACAAAAACATATAAGAAGCAGTACCTCAGTTTTATCTTCCACATTCTGGTTATGCTACGTAAATATGAAATTGTTATCCGTATTCAAATAACATTAGGTCTGACTTCAAAAAGTAAGTTTAGGACTTAGCAAAGCCTACATTTAATAAGGAAAACTAGCAGCACTATCAAATTTTAAAGCCAAGTATTAGCAGTCACTTTTTGACAATATCTTGTGGGAGACTGTATTGGTAAATTCATGAAAGCAATATCAGACTACAGCAACTCAGAGCTCTTGGGTATATTTTTTATTCCATTAGTGTGGTGCTGCAAAAGATTACAAAATTTGTTTCTAAGACCAAAACGTAACACAATTTATCCATGAAATTTTATTTCCATGTTTTAAAATGATAATCGTTTTACTCTTGTAAGTCTCTAGGTTTAAAGCAAGTATTACTTTGAGACCCACTGAAGTATTATGAAAATTCTCAAGAAGCTCAAAATATAAGATGATCTGAGACAAGAATTACTCAATTTTCCAAAGTCACCCTGTCTGAAGCAAGTGATATTAAAGGTGAAATTCACAGGAAAATAGCACTGTTAAAAACAAAGAAAATGGAAAAAGCAGAGACAGATCAATTTAAACCATGGCTCTGGCATCTTCTGCTGGAAATTCCAGCAATTTAATTTTTCTGTGTTTAGTTAGTAAATTTACTTATATCTTTGGTGTCCTTAGCTATAAAGTGTCAATAGTACCTAAATAATTGTTTTGAGGACAAAAATGAGATAACATTAGGGAAGAAGAAAGTCCACTGAAAAGTCTGTTCTACACCTATAATTTATAAACAATGTTATCTGCAAAACAAATAACAACAATAAAAACCAGAACAGGAATAAAGTCTCCAAAATACTGTCATTAAACAGAAATTTTTCTGTAAATGAAAATGACTCTTTTGTCATTTCCACATAGAAAACTACCTATCTGGAGTTTTGAGATCTCCAAGAAAAAACAAACACCTTTCTACAATTTATATTCCAAATTTCAGGCAATAAATCCTTTCCATCTAACCTAAATTTCCTATGTTGTAGTTCATTTGAAAATTCTTATCTTTCAATTCTCCTTAAGTGGGAAGCATATCTGTTTTAGTCTTTTCTGTATTTCTGTCCCTAGCAGAGTTCTGGAGACACTTTGCATGAATATATTCATTCATTCATTCATTCAGAAAATATTTATTCAACAATTACTTTGTGCCAGGTACTGTAAGTAGTAGAGCAAGGCCCATAAATGAGAAGGCTTTGCTCAGGTAACTTATAGTTTAGTGAATAAGGTAAATATTTGTCAAATAGGTACAGAAGTAAATAAGTTTCTAATGTGGATGGCAAAAAGGTGCAGAGATGGTGAAGATCACAGTTTTGGGATGAAGACAATCAAAGGAGGTCAGGAATAGCTCCCCTGAGGTACAAGGTTTAAACTGAGACTTGAAAATTGACTGAAAGTTGGCCAGATTTTGTAAGGTAAGGGAATACAGACCAGGCAGGGAGATGAAACATATTAAAAAGTCCCCAAGTCAGGAAGGTAAATGAGAATGGTTGGGGATAAGAATGGAGTGCTACATAAAGGACAGAGGATAAATTGCCAGTATTAATGAAAGTAAAAGGATTCATAGCATTAAATATTTAAGCCACGTTGTATTTTTCTCAAATAAAATAAATAATCTAAGGGAACTGAGTTTTTATTCCACAATATTAAAGTTCTATATTAGGTTATGACTTTGTCTCACCAATCACTGGACACATGACCTTGGACAAGACATTGACCAACTTGAGCCTCTTCTATTCTCTGTAAATCGGTATCCAATTATTCTACCTACTGAGATTACAATAATAAATAACATATAGCCCCGGTTCTTATAGACTTTACATCCCTGAGAGAGAGGTGTATATGAAAGACAACCTAAATCCTATAGAAGATGATGTCCCAAAAAAAAGACACAAAAGTCTCCTGAAAGGTATCCACAAATGTGGACACTGGTGGGCTGTAAACCACAATAAAAACACAAGCTACACATCTTTCTGTGAACTCTAGCATGAGACTGAGGATGATATATACAATAGAAACATTACTCTGCCATCCCAAAACAAGCGAAATATCAAAACTATAATGAACCTCAGAGATAAAGAGAACTCAGTGGTAGCACTGAATTAAAGATTAACATTAATGTACTCAGAACAAGTTATTTTATATCAAGTTTTCTTATTTCCAAATTTTCCTTGGTTCAAAAACTTGTTCCATCATTACATAACTACATGCCAAACTCATCTTATGCCTTTCCCAACAAAAGGCAATGTCCACATTGCCATCTAGAAAATACAATGACATTCTTGCTTTACCACCACTTACTCATGTCCAGTTTACAGTCAACCTAAACTACCACACCCTTTTTTCATCTAGCACAAAACTAGTTATCCCCACATTATTTTCCATTTGTTTAGCTGGCTCTTCCTTACTATGTACTACTTTACTTACGATGCTACATTTTTCCTGATTTTATTTCATTCTGTAGTATCATACCTCTCCTTGTATTTTAAGTCATATTAAAATCAAACCATATTCACAGCAGAATACCTGATCCTAGAAAATGTTTTGTTTTTCATTTTTAAGACAAATTGTTGATGATCTTAATAACTGAAGAGTACATTCAAAATACAACTTATAAAACAATACACCATGATTGATTTTCTGGTAACTATAATTTTATGCCTTTGTGTATATAAACTTATCACGAATAAGTCTTGAGGTCAATGAATACATGCCTACAATTCTATTTAAAAGCTATCCAATAACACATTCAAGAGCTATAAAAATTCTAGAGACTAAGTCTAGAAAAAGTGCACTGCTTTCTGCAATAAAAAAATATAAACATCATTGTTGTCTCTCTCACACATTCTGAAGTCAAGAAAATGAGGGAAAAATAGAATTCTGAAACAAAAAAATTTACCTCAATGTAATGCAACATATCTTTTCTAATAATGGCACTATAAATTCTTGATGTTGCATTGTTTGAAAACAAAATGTGTAAAATAACTTCTGTTAAGGAATTCCAACCCAACTGCTCTCGGTTTTACAAAATGAGTAAGGTAGGAAGAAAAAGGAGTATTATTTTAACTGCTAAACATTACCCACCCTTAAAAATGGTCTGTGGAAGTAGGCTCTCTAAGAAAAAAGTCTCAATTCATTGATCCTTTCTTTTTATTTTTCTAAAAGGTTAGAATCCTTTAATGAGGAAGGAGTTTCACCTCACTTAAAAAAAAAAAAAAAAAACTCTTCACCTTACAAATGGCTTCTTGGAAATACATAAAATACTATTACTTTGCAACTTCCCCCACTCCTTCCAAAGAACACACTTTTTTCTCAGACAGCAGTTCTGGTTCAGAACCTGCACTCTGACTAGATTCAGAAGATCTGTCTCTGTGTGTGTGACCTTGGACACGTCATTTATTCCCTCAGTTTCCTCATCAGCATCCCAAAGTGAAAGCGTGGTGAATACAGTTCAGGACTAAATATATCTTAGGTATTACACCTAAGAGGGTCAAGCTTTTCTGCTTAGGGGCAGATTACCTCCTGAAAGGGGCCACATCTTAAAACTGGAACTGAATCCGTAGATTTGTCAACATTTGATTCTTCCTTCTTCAGAGCTCTTCTCCCCTCAAAGGGCATAACCCTGATCACCCCAAGAGCAGACTCCCAAGCACCCTTTCCTTCCTCCAGTCTTCCCTAGCCTGCTTATAAAGCAAGGGGGGAAACAGCAGCCTCACCTCTCTTCCCCCAAGCCACACCTTTAGGGGACCCCACCCCGGGCACATCCGCCCTCTCCTCGCTCCCTGGGCCAGAGAGACCAACCTCGCCCTTCCCCTCCGCCCCCACCTAGAGGAGACTTCCTGGAGGCGTTCAGGCCCCAGCCCGGCAGGCGGCATTTACAAACCCGCTTTACGCCACTCGCGTAGGGTAACCTCACTTACGCCCATAGGGCCCCGCTCCCAGCCCCGTCCGCTCCGCCTTCCAGAGCCAAGCCTGAGTGTTTCAGCCACGGTCCCCGAGTGACCTGACCATTTTTACTCGGTGCGGAACTACGGTGATTAGGACAGAACAGTCACACCTTACCGGCAACTGAGGCACTGACTTCACTTCCCACCTTTGGAGCCCTCTTCAACTCCCGGATCAATTCACTCCGGCGACGCCGGAAGGACCCGAGAGGAACCAGGCGTTGTCCGGAATCCTGCCCAGCCGGAGTCGCGCAGCGCTCTATGGGGACTCGTAGTCCCGTTCGCCGGCGTTACTAGCAATTCCTGCACTCCCAAGACTACACTTCCCGGCAAACCAAGCGGCGGAGCCCAAGGCGATGGGTGGGGACACTCCTAGCCAATAGTAAGAGAGTTCCCTGCCTTTGCGGGAGGAGGTGAGATGAAGAGAGGGGGTGCACAGAAAGGAGGGGAAGGGCGGGGCCAGCTCTCACCTGCGCCAATCAGGGCGCACTGTCAGCCCCGCAGGCGCCTCACCCATGGAGGGGCTGGGCTAGCGGAGCAGAGGAAGGAAGAGGGTGGGGGGCCCGACGCGGGGAAAGTGGGGTAGCTGGGTTGAGTGAGCAACGCAGGCGGAGAGGAAGCCTCAAGGAACTCGCTGGTGTGGAGGGAGGGTGTGGTGTGGGGACGCGCCCCAACCGAAAGAGGAGCTTCCTAAGAGCAGCAAAGCCCCAGGCATACCAAGCAACCAGACCCACGGACTGGGGAGGGATAGGCTGAACCTGGACTCCCTGCAGGGGCACCTAGGAGGGGCGGCCAACTCCAGGTGTGAGGGCACTGAGTGTGGGGAGAGGGAGCCCGCTGAGAAAGGGAAGAGGCAGAGCTACTGCACAAGTGCAGGGAGCGGGAAGCTACACCGGCCACCGGCTGCCGCTTCCCGCCGCCTCCAGCCTCGGCAGCAGCAGGAACAGCAGGGGGAGGAGCAACAGCTGCCAAATTCGCCAACTGGAAGAGGGGGAGGCGGAGCTTGAGTCCCAGTAGAAGCTGAAGCACAGCCTGGACTGTAGTTTCCCGGGAGAGACCAGAGCAGGAACAAGAGCCGAGTGGAGTGCAGTCTTCCGAGCATCAGCTCCCGCATCCCGCCAGGGGTTGAAGGTGTGTGGGAGGTAAGCGTGGGTGCTTCTTCCCGGCGTCTGCACACTGCCCGGGAGAAAGCACCTAATAGGAATTGTATCAAGGCACAGCTAAAAGAGTATGCGTTGGGTTAGAAAACCGGTACAGTCCCCTTCGGGTGAACGATGTACATTTTTGGACTTTGGGCGGCCGGGGGTGGGGTGTGCAAAAGGTATCTTGACCCTGAGTATAAAGGGCGTGGCTAGTGGTTTTTGGTTTGAGTTGCACCGTTAAAACTGGGAGATCTCAAGATTGAGGGAAATCCTGCTAATTGAGGACAAGGTGGATGATATCTGGATAGGTGCGTAGCTGTTAAAAAGCAAGAATTGTGTCTTTGATATGAAATTACTTAAGAACTATTTCAAAATAACTTTGCATTCTTCTTCGGTGTCTATTCTTCACATTGATTTTTAAGATTATTCTGCTTCCGACCTGTTATCCAGGGTGGTTGTATTGCAGGTTCCTAGAATTGCAAGAGATCAGGATTAAAGAAGCAAATGTAAGCAGGAATAGGATAGGACGGATTCTGACTGAACCTATCAGAAGTATAACTTTTGCCAGCAAAAACGTGAAAATATATTTTAATGGATAGATACTTAGCTTTCTTTCTAGTGGCTCTGGGATATTGAAACAAAGACCTGGACTCAGCCTACAGTGGGAACATATGGTGTACTTCATTGCTGCTCCTTATTCTCTCATTTCTGTCCGGTAACATTTGTACATTTTTAAAAACATGAGTATAAGGAAAGCTGTGTGAGGATCTTTCCTCTGTTTAGACAGTATATGTTAAATAATTACTCTTAGTATGTGTTATAATGGGCTCCAATTTTAAATAAAGATAGCGTCATAAAATAATACTCTCCGTATTAAACCATGTGTGTATTCCTTTGGATGTAATTATGGTACCTATCAATGGAAATGTTAGGTCAACACGAAAGTCTCACCAGCCTTTGTTTCACTATGTCAGGATTACAGCGTTTTCTTATTACAAACTTGATAAGAATCCATTTGTCTAGTTTATTTTAATTTTGTTTATTACAGAGTTCCCTAGATTATAGGGCTTTTAATCATAGCATATTGCTGCATATTTTGTTTTGAAATGCCTTCATTGTGACAGTTGAATATTTCAGAGTCTGAATACTTTAATTTTGTTTTTTTTTTTTTTTTTTTTTTTTTTACTAGATTCAATAAGATAGTCATTATCTTCTGTATTAATGCATTCCTGATTAGGATTTTGGATTTTACTTTTGTATATACACATAATTCCTTTTTGAAAAGAAATGGCTCAAAGGTATTCTCATAGCTTAAAGTTGAGTTCCACCGAGTACTACTATGAATAAGTTTAAGTAATATATCAGTGTACATTCCTCCTCTCGCATGTACTTAAACACCAGAGGAATACACAGATAGACAAATCTTAGAAAAACTGCTACTTTTAGATTGTCTTCAAGCAGATCAGGTAAGTATTAAAAGCTGCAAAGAGGTTAAAAGAAAGAAAAAGCAACAGTAGCCACTAAACTTAGCAGCCACAGCAAGGATCACATTGTATCTTTGCTACATCACTAGAGAATATATTAATCCAAATAGCTGATGTGACCTTGTGAAAATGATTTGGGAAGAAAAACCACTAGGGCTTTGGTGAAGCTTGGGAAGTTGTGTATGCTCTTATTTATGATGAAGTGTATTGTCCTGAATTAGAGTCTTAGATTCTCGGGCTTTAGAAATGGAATACTTGCTGTCACTAGGTTATATCCTTCCCCATGTAATAATAACAGTTAATTATAGTACTGGCAGTAAGTATTGTTGAGAATCAATAAACAAGCAAATGGGTAGAAGATGATTTGTAACAAAACAATTGAAATTCAGATATACTTTGAATCTGAGCTTTGTTTGTAGGTCTTCTGCTCTAAGGTATCATAAGACTAGAATCTCATTAGGAATGAATGAGTTTGTGGTATGAAAGTGCCAAGTTTTCTTGTTTTTAAGATTTAGATCCTTTTAAGTGTGTCAATGAAAGAGACTGGGTTTCTGTATCATTAAGGAGTGAGAAGACCCTGTTTTTTGTGGGAGAAAATCGTTGGCTGTTTGTTACCTGGACTCTTTTCACTCATTTAAATTGGTGTTCACATTCAGTCTCAGATAATCTGAAGACTTTTCTTGATTGGTGTTGAGAAAGCACATTAATTTTATGCATAATACTCCCTGTTTGAAAAGCGTATTATTTATTGGGCTCTTAAGTTTTACTACAGATGTAAGGCTGTCAGTGAATATATGACGAGAAAGAAGCAACACAGTGCAGAATATTTCTCTTGAATGGAAATTGCTCTGGAGATGATTGTTCTCTAATCAAAAGACTTGGTAATTTCAAATTACACTATATTTTGGACTTTTCTATAAATTTAAAATTCTACTTTAAAGCCTATTGAGTAAAAAATAATCGATAGCATGGATTTTTAACAGAATGATTCACTGAAGCATGTGACACGAAAGAGCAATTCTTAAAGGTTCAAGACCGAATGATTTTGGTACAGCTGAAAGACGGGGATAGATATGAAGAAAACTACCTTAAAAAAGTCTCCTTAACCAGAGAGGAAAAAGAGTTTGCTATTTTTTTGTTAAATACTTATAAGTGATAATATGATCTTTCCCTCTCTATCATTAATTTCTGTATCCATAGTGCAGATGTTACTTTTCTCCAGTTAAATACACTGAAGTCAAGACAGTAGTTTATTAGAATTTGAGGACACATGTATTATTAAAGTATAAAAGATTATGTACATTGACAACTATCCTTTGGACAAAATTTTAAAAAGAAGCAAAAACTTAAATGTTGTTTTATCCTTTAATAAAAGTTACTTGAACTAGCCAATAAAGATGAATAAGAATCTGTTTATTTACTTATTTATGCAAATTCCTAAGGTTAAATCCTGCTGAGCAGATTTCTATTGTTATATTCAAATAAGAGTTTTGCTTTGTTTTTTCAGTCTTACCTCTAAGGTTTCTAGAATTTAGTTCTTAAAGTTTGGTATTTGTGTTTTAGGTGACTTGATTATTAGTGCCTGAAGACCATGTACTTCTTTTCTGTCTCCCTTTGATCCTTAGCCTTATATCATGCTCAGCATTAAGAATTTGCTTTGTAAGAATAATGCTTAATGAATTAGCATTATTGGCCAATACTTTTTAATATGCACATTAAATACTTTGATACACAAGATTCAGTGTACCTCAAAGAATGATTATTGTATATTAACTCTTCTGAGAATGTCATTGTTCTAATTAGCTTTGCAGAAATGTTATTTAAGCCCAGTTTGATTTAGACTGTATGGGCTGCAAAGATTTATCTACAACTTTGAGTGTCAGGGTTTCTAAATTCATCCCAGAGGTAAGGAATGTGGGTGGGGAGAAAGGGCCTTGCTATCAGAGACCCCTAAGTTCTTCACTTTATAGCTAGGGAAGCCCATGGCTCACCTCTGTTTAACCTTACATCCCTGGAGACATACCTTTGTTGATGTTTATCTTTAAAAAATTATTTTATTATAAAAACTGAATTCTTGTTTTTCTGTTTTTCTAACCACTGCCCCCCCACCGATTAAAAAAAAAAAGAAGAAAAGAAGTCACGATAATTTTGTTTAAACATGCATAGAGTTGGGCATTTATTGGTTTTGATTTCACATTCCAGAAACAAATTAATCTGATTAGTGTTAAAATTAAAAATTCAGTATGAATTTTCTTTTATTAACACCTGGACAATTCTAGTTAGTTCTAAATAGTTGTTAGTAATAAAATTAATTATAGCAGGAATTTAACTGCCTTTTGCTTTGCTTTTTAATATTTTTACTAACATACTGATAGATGTGACTTATCTTAGATCTAATGATTACTCTTCTTTGTCTTCCTGTTCCTTTGGCATTATTCTTAATGGTTAGCACTATGCTTTGTGTCTTAGCTGAGTTCATAATTATCTTCCTGGTGTGTGTATATATATATATTACTTACAAAAGTTTCCCTGACTTTATATGTTGAGAGCCTTATACAAAATCTGAACTTGGTAGATGGTAACTATTTGTTCAGCTATTTGGCAAGCTATAATGAAGAATCATTTTACAAACAAGTATAACCATAAAAAATGAATTTTTCTTAGACAAATTGTTTTATTACCAGATTCAGCCCTCTGCCCACAACAGTTGCATATTGAATATATAAATATTGTTCTCTGTTGTTGGATTTCTGAGTGAGTAGAGCAAATATTGTCATTAACTATAACCTTGCATGTGTGTTTTAAATGTGAATTTATTCATTGACTACCTTTTGTATCATGTGTGGTTCATTTTCTCTCCTTGCTTGTAGAATTCTGCTATTTTAAAAATGTTCTTCTAAGTAACACTTCCCCCTCACAGACACTCTTTCTATGACTTTTTTTCCCTAACATATAGAAATAGAGGACTTCCAGAAAAATAGATAAATGTAACATGAGGCTTTATCTTAACTACTATTTAACTCGTCTTCAGTGTTCTAATTTTAGTGACATGCTTGCTTTTGGGGTCTTATTAAGGCTTATTAAACCTGAATTACATCGTACTTGTTATCTTTGAGCCCTGTCAGGGAAAGAATATGTTTTGAGGCTTGGAATTAACTGTGTCCAGTGCTGTGTTCTGTACTGTTTAACTACTGAAGCTTGCCTGGCTCCTAAGGCTGCAGCCTCTGCTTTGGGGCCCCCTTCTGGTTTAGCCTGGGAAAGGAGCTTCTGAGCATCTCAGAGCTCTTAATTTAGTGTGGCAAGGCAGGAGGTTGAAACTCACTTTCATTTAATAACCTTATTTTCCTAAGTGTATTATTTTCCCCAGGTAACATTTAGTTCCAGAGTTACCAGTAACAGGAGCTCAAATATCACAATATGATTTCTAAAGCACAGTCTGACAATTCAATGAGTAACTATCAGCTCCCCTAACATCTTGGGTTTGTTTGTTAATTAATTTACTTATTTTTTAAATGG